GAAGCTCTGAGATGAAGATACTTTAACTTAGATACTTTTGGAGTGAAATCATGCATATTGATTGATGCCTCACGCAATATGCGATAATTTAAATTTGCTTTCAGTAGTATCTGATAAAGAGGTCAATTACGGTATCGAATGCAACGGGTTTTTTTTTTTTCAAAAAGATCTTCGCTACTATTCTCTGAATTTTGGCGATTTTTTTGGGCTTGAGCTGAAATATATCGTCCTTTTTTGGGCGAAAAGTCGAAATCTGCCGAGATATTTTGACTCAATCGATGCAATTTATCGCGTGCCCGCTCGACTAAGCCAAAACCAGGGACGGATCACGGGGATTTTTTTTTTTTGAGATGCAACTGGAAGAAAAATTGAGAAATCGATTGAGATGACAGTTTGAAAGTGCGCTTCAGCTCGACACTGTGGGAAAGTTCAAAACAACTCAAACGCAGTCACATGCACACTCAGAGGAAAGCGTCGGGGGACGGAAAAAGGTTATTAAAAAAAGGAGGGAGGGCTAGGGAAACGCGGGAGAAGAGGACGGAGGAAGAGGCGAACTGGGAAAGAAGAAGATACGCGATCTGTTTCACGTTTAACAACTTTCCAAGTTTGAATTTTCCACCGAGAGATGTTTATAGATTTCCGGCAACGTACAAGAACTGCGATAAAAAAAAATGTTGCTCCGGTGCCGCGGAGCTCGCTTCAAACTTTTGCGCCTTGCTCCATCTACCGACCGTGAAAAAAATTAAAAATCGGAAACTTTCCTTCTACGGAAGTTCGTTTTAATTTTCTTTTCCATCGATTATATTTTGACGTCCCGACGTGAAGAGGAAGTACACAAACTCGCTCTAAGACGTCGTTCCACGGAGTAAGATGTGAGCGCATTGCGTGCACTTGTACCTACAAACTAGAAGCTTAGGATATTGAAGCTATTTCTTTACAGATTTACTCTGAGTGGTCGTAAAAACTGCGGGATCCTCCTCATAAGCTTATCAGTCTTAAAAAAAAAAAAAAGTTGTGTTGGTACACTGTTGTGCGAACGAGTAGAATGTATCAACATTTTATCAAAATGGAGCGTTCATAGATTATGTAACGCACTTTTGGGCATTTTGACTCCCCCCATACTTCTTGTAACGCAACCCTGGACCCCTTAGATGGTCACGTAACGCTTGCAACAGACCACCCCCTTCTTGCATTCTGGAATATTGTGGTAAACTGTTACATGAATCGCTAGATAATATTTGGAGTATTTTTAATCGCTGCACTGGAAAAAAAACATTGGATCTAGAGTCCAGACTCTTGAAAACATTGACAAGAAAAAGGACTCTTGATTCAATCAGATTTCAACTTAAATTAAAAGGAAATCCCCTCAAATTAAGAGGCTTGGTTCTTGATTTAAGCTTCAATCTGATTGAATCAAGAGTATTTTTTCTTGTCGATGTTTTTAGGAGTCTGGACTCTAGATCCAATGTGGTTTTTTTCCAGTGTGCGCAGAAAAGCCATCGGCCCAATTGTCTGGCGACCAGCGAAAGATTGCGGAAACTTTTGTAAGATTTTGTGTTTTTTATTATCAAAAAAGAGGGATATGTATCGCTCACCAGTATCAGTATTTCTATACAGATTATTATTATTATTGAAAAAAAAAAAAAAAAAAAAAAAAAAAAAAAAAAAAAAAATGCGATGTATCGATTAATATGCCGTACAAGACTATGAAAAAATATCGATTATCAGGGCGTTTGCTACGAACACCATAATAATCGATTCTTTACCATAGCTTCAAAAGGGATAATATCGATAGTAAGGGATCGATTGGGATAATATCACGGCTCCCCCACTGCCGAACTCCATGTTCATAAACAAAATTCCTGACTCCCCATTTTTTACGGGACTCCATGAAACAAAACGCAAGCTTTCAGCGGAAGACAGTCAAGATGGATGTGCATTTTCGAGCGGTTCGAAGAATGGCATGAAGTCAGTGTTTACTTTTCGTTAACGTAATTTCCGCAGCGTGGTTTCCGAAGAAATGTTCTCGGCGCTTATTCGAATCGATGATTTATTTGCTTAAGCAAACATGTCTGATCGTGGACTTAGCAATGTAATGCCGAAGCTTAAATGAAAAGCCCGCTCAATCACTGCTGAGTGATAATCCTTGTTGTCGAAGTAGAAAAAAAGTTCATTCCATCTTCTTATTCATATCGATTTATTATTCCCCACCAAATCCATTTACTCACGATGCGAGACTATGACTATAGCATCACGACTAAGAAGCATCCAGTTGGTTGATTATTGAAATTGATAGACAAAGATATAGACAAAGAATACATCAGGAGCATGGAACGATCCTATTGGTTGGAACGGGTAGTTTTTATATACTAAAGGGGAAATGATGGAATAACTAAAGAGTCTCTCAAGATTTGCCGTTACAGTTATAGTCAATTACTTACCTCATTAATTGACCATCGCAGCCGATAGGATTGTCCACCAATAGGATCGCTTCGATTTCAGTTAGTCCTCTTTTTCAACAGCTTATGTTTATCAATTTCCATAGGCAATCCGCTGGTTGCGTTTATAATTTAAAAGAAACCAAAATGTTGTCTCCTACTGACTTTTAAAGACCATTCAGCCAATAGGAAATTTCCGGGTGTTTTAAATTTTGTGAATTTCATTTATTTTTTCATTTTTTTGGGGAGGTTCAGGGATTTTGTGCAAATGAAGCCTAAAAGAAACCTTATGATTTGAAAATCCTCCAATAATAATACAAGTTTTAATTGCGTTGCCAAAATACGTTTTACCACCGAAAAATTCCAATATTTTAGAGATTCTCGGTTGAAAAAAAACACATTTCGTTCATCCCTTTTTATTGTATGAGGCACGGTGGTTATACTGTGACTTAGAAAATAAAAAGGGATGAACTAAACTTGTTTTTTTCAACCGAGGAACTTCAAATATTAGCATTTTTTTTTAGTGGTAAAAAATTCACAACTTGACCGCTATATTATACCATAACGAGCTTTGAGCCTAAGCTATAACTTTCACTGGTGGATCGTCTCATCAAGAAGAATTTTTACATATGAATCAATTGTCAAATCGCAAATTCCTCACACATGCAACACCTCCATTAAGACCACCAAAACGCACGAATCGCAACAAAAAACGTTCCGGATTGGGTGGTGTGAACGGGCAAAATCGCCACCCCTCCTTTGTATTTTGTTCAGTGTGGTCCGCTTTGTGGCGTACGCTACCGATCAATTCGGAAAAACTGAACCATTGAACGTATGATGAGTTTCACGATTCCGCTGAAAAGTTTACTCATAGTTCAAATCGGAAACCTTTGTTTCCTTGAATGACATCATAACGAAACTTCGATCATCCCCTACTTCCACTTGCTCCGCGCATCGCGCGTAATGTATTCACCGCAAAATATCAATGCTTGTTTCCCGGATTAATCTCCGCTAATTGCCTCGCGCCCCCTGTCACGTTCGTTCTGTTTGAAATTCAATTCATAAACATCGGCGACGAGCGATAAATTTAGTGGAAGACACCGCGCTCGCATGAATATAAATCGAATTTTAAAGGGATCCGGGCGACCTTGTTTTCCATGCCACGCATTAATTCTATTTACTCAATTTTGAAAAACAGAGGGAAGATCAGGTGGCGGCTCCGAATTGGGGTAGGCGTATTGTTGTGCTTATCTGCAGTGCATGCTCCGTAAGAAAGTAAACACCGGTATTGAGACCGAAGCTCAAACAGCACTGTTGTAGCGTTGCTATTCATGAGGAGAGTTTTGCCGTATTACCGAAGGGAGCGATGGCGATTCTTAAAAGTTGGCAATGCGGTTTCCTTTCATCTAAATGCATGTACAACTGGTGATAATAATGGACCACTAGACAAGGTACGAATTTAAGCTTTCTAATACATGTTTCTTAACCAAAATTTCACGTAAAATACGATTCGCACAACTAAAATTACTGAAACCAACTCCTGACGAAGATATTAACGTTTTTATTTTCACAGTGATTACGAGGAATTTGAACTGCCCGCTCACAAGAAACTCAAAGCTCTACGTGAGTCAAATCGCGCACTACAACGGTTTCAGCAAGCTTCTCAATCAAGCAATGTTCATTTCCCACCATGTGTTGTTCAAACTATGAGCAATTTGCTATAGCTGAGCCAAAGCGTCAAGATCAAAGTTGCCAGATTTTTATATCGCAGAGACTGTCATGATAACGTTTAGCGCGCGATGTGAATCACGTAGAGCAGCACAAAGCAAGGTCAGTGAAATTTTCAGACAGCTTCGTTGAACGATTTCTCTGTAAAAAATAAAATGCGGCGGAAATTTTTAAACGTCGCACGGCACTTTGGCACTTGTGCCGAAGACTTGTGGTTGTTAGAGTCCCTTTATAGAGAGAGGTGAGAAAAGGCTCATCGATGTCAAAAACGGGAATAAGGATTACACAAATCGGACGTTTTTTGTTATCTGTGATCATGATCAGTCCCATTTCCGAATTCCCATCTCCGTTCCCACTCTTATTCCACTTGTTGTTTGCCGTACTCCCAATTCCCCAGTCCATTCCGGTTCATAATCTTTGTAATTGGTGAAAGTGTATTCTTTATTCCCGTGTGTTACACTATGAAGGCTTGAAATAAGAGAACCAATCAGAAATGGATTAGCATTGTCTTTACTCTCAGTATAAAGGGAATATAGTGCTTGTGCTTCGGCCGGAAAAAAAACACATTGGATCTAGAGTCCAGACTCTTAAAAACATCGACAAGAAAAAATACTCTTGATTCAATCAGATTTAAGCTTAAATCAGGAACCAGGCCTCTTAATTTGAGCGGATTTCATTTTGATTTAAGCTTAAATCTGCTTGAATCAAGAGTCCTTTTTCTTGTCAATGTTTTCAGGAGTCTGGACTCTAGATCCAATGTGTTTTCTTTCCAGTGTTTGGCGGAAGGTGAAGATATTCCAATATCGTGATGATAAGATGGCGTTATTTTCTTACCTGAGTCTTCGGTGATGTTCAAGAGGGCGGCGTGGCAGTTGGCTGCAGAGAAGAAGACGAGAACGAAGAGGATAATCCAAACTGGCATGGTGGAGCACGGACTCACGCTTGGGGCGAACAACGATCCAGAACTTGCGGGCCGCACGACACAAAAGTTTTCGCGACCATTTTACATCTTCGGCCACGTACCCGGAGCCCGCGAAAGGCCAGGCTCGCACAAAACTACCGACTCGCTAAAATCTCTTAGAAATTCAGAGAACCCGCTTGAACTTACACTTCCAAGGCATCCTTTCGTGCGTATAATAAAGAGGAATCATTAATTTTCGAATGATTAGCCAACGTGGCGTAGTTTACCTCCGGAGGAAAACTGAACCGAAACGCGGGGCTGATTCAAAGTTTAGGCACATGAGAGAGCGAAACATTATTGGATCTTAATCAGCTGACCGAGGACTCTTCTACCGCTTTCACACCTGAAACATTGAAAAAAACGAACGTATTAATGTGAGGCAGTTTTACAAATTTTGACGGAGATATTTCTCATCGAAAAACCAGTCGAATGACATCATTCTCCGCGGCAAAGCATACCATGGTTTCATCCGCCTTGGATTCATCAATTAAAGATACATGCATTATATGTATAGTTAAAATACGCAGTTTATAACGTTTGACACTACTCCGCCGCGATGGATGATGTCACACGCATTGTTTTTCGATGGACAGCAACTTGGTTGTAATACTAGACGTAGAGATTCGGCTATTGGACAGATCTCACAATTCTTTGCTAATTTATGAGTTAAAACCATCAAAACACGATTCTGTGACCAGCGTGAACTCCATTGACAATAAAATACCACATGATTTCTGCATAAAGATGCTATACACAAACCGCCCTGTCCGTAAAATATTACTTAAGTATGTTTCGCGATGATCAGGACCATTTAAAAAATCACGAAACATTGTTCAGTAGCGACAGTCTTGTCAGGGTTTCGATCATCCTTATTAAGTATTCAAATAAGACGTTGTTTTATGCCCTGGTCTCATTAATATTAAAAACTGCCGCAGAACTTCTGTTTTTTACCCACCGCGGAGCACCAGCTACGGTCCCCGAAGGAACGCATCACAAAGAAATTGAGACATGAGCCCATCTATTTTATTCAATGAAGACGTTCCTCATATAATGATCGCTAGGGCATGTTGAATGGCAGGAATAAGTGCAGCGCTAAGCAGCCACTTGATTATACTTTATGATGAAACCAAATGATGGTCGTTCCTATGCAAAAGTATGAAAAAGAAGGAGCGAAAAATGGCCATGTTGCCGGCGTCAGGCTTAGTATTTGATCCCATCGATCTCGATATTCTGTCAATTTATCTTTCGTGCCTGAATGTGGAATTTGACTTTTCTTTCATTATGATATGTTGAATGAATTATCAATATAGTGCAGTTTTTGCTATACCGAGAAATACGTGTTAGAAATTTCGAAATTACATGAATGGCAAAAGAAAAGTTCAAACTTACATTTTGATGCTTAAAAATTTGAATTCGGGGCGAATTTGTCGCAAAATATGCATTTAGACTAGATTTACTTGAAATCATTAATACCTCAATATTTTTTTTAAAAAAACTGCAATTAGGCGCCTTGTACTCAAAGCCAAGCCACTTAAATACGGCGCGCTATTTGCGTTGACGACCTAATGAGTGTTCCTGTGAATGGAAAATTATTCTACAGTAACACCCGAACTCTTTGGGAAATAATCACCACACTGAGAAAAAAATTCCTGTTAAAAAAGCGGCGACAGACATTCTTGTTGGGAAACTCGGAAATCGAATTAAAGCGACAGTGCTTCTTTTCGAAATAACAGAATTACCTTACACGGAGAAAAAAACTTCATGCGTGGGACCCGAAGTTGAGGTCATATGGATCTCTGAAGTTTTCGGATCACGTATCTAAAAACTTGAGCTTCAGGTGCCGAAATTCGGGTCGGACATCTGAAATACTTCGATATATATACCGAAGAGTTCGGGTACACATCTGAAGTACTCCGGTACATACCGAAGTGCCTCGATGTCTGACCCGAACTTCAGCAGTTCGACCTCAAGTTTTCGGATTCGTGATCAGGAAACTTCAGAGATCCATGTGACCGCAACTTCAGGTCCCATGCACGAAGTTTTTTCTCCGTGTATGAAACAAAGAGATTTCCTGATAGCTTTCTGCAGTGCCCTCGTGGAATTAACGAGTAAAAGCTACTGCGCGCAACTATTCGTGCTCCGAGGCCGCTCGAATTGCCATCCCGGTTATTGAAGGCGAACTCGTCAGGATGAGCGACACTAACTGAGGAGAGAAATTAAAATTCGATTTTTACCGGAACTTCACAAAGTTACAAGACTACTGCGCAACTTTTTTATTGGAAAAAATTAAGGGGGTCTATTCAAGCCACATGAAGAAAGTATGCCTTCTGAATGGTTGAAAAGGATGTTGATTCTCTATACCAGTCGAAATTCGCAGAAAGCATGCAACTGAAAGTTTAAAGAAAAGAGACGAAGTTACATCATGAAAAATGAGACTATATGGGGAGGAGGGCTTATGAAAGACAATAACGCTATGCGGTAGTTATAGATCTTTGTGGCTAAGTACAGTCTAATGAGGAGTGAACCCCTCATGAATGTCGGTAACGCTACCGAAAATTGCCACAAGAGAAATGATTGGAACTCCCCAAAATATTTTTCGTGGTAAAAAAAGACGTCGATCATAATTATTGGAACGTCCTCACAGAACGCGGTCTCATCCAATGAGTCCATGGTTTCAAAGCAAACGTTTCTAAAATGAGGCCGGCTGTCTGGCGAGCTGTTAAGAGGCGCACATTACCCAGCGACTCGGTGTGAACGAGGAACATGAAATCGGTTTGCGTGATAATTAGTCGCCTTAATAATCGGCTCTTTTCTCAGTCGGTCCTGGATTTCGGGCCAGAAATATTGGTTTCATTTAGAACGTGGCATATAACAGGACTACATTATTGCCGTTTTTTGGGAAAAATTCTGAGAATTATAGATTTCACAAAATAGGGAATACCAATAATAATGATTGTACGCAATGAATTCAGAAAAAAAAATTGTAATCTTTTTTATGAGAAATCATGCAAAAAAAACCCTTTCAAATCTTTTAGAATAATGTAGAAAAGGGACAAAGGGCTGATGGTTGAAATTGATTTACAAAACGATAGAATAAGACAAAGGTTCAACAGAGCGATCCTATTGGTGGAAGCGGGTGGTTGGATCGCAAAAAGGAGGTAAGTAGTAGAATAACTCCCAGCAATCTACAAAAGACCTTTGAGTTACTCTATATTGTTCTCCTTTGTCTATAGCGGTCGCCTGTTTCTACTGATGGGATTGCCCCTTTTCCCCTTACTTTTCTTTGTCTATAGCTTTGTCTATCGATTTCAATAATCAGCCCGTAAATCAATCCAATCGAAAAGACTGATAATGCCATATAAAATCGGAAGTACCACAAACTTGTTGTAATGCTTTACCTCTAAATACCTGCTAGATGTACTCTAGATTCTATTTTTCAAAAATCGCCTTCCACTCTACACTGAAAAAAAAACTGCAGACATGAAGCCGTACTTACGGACTATATATGACATACCGTCTACGTTCCCGGCTCAGAGGCCAAAAGTTCCGGGCGTAACACCCGGAGCAATCGAAGCTACGACTCCAGCACCCGGAACTTTCGGCCTCGGAGCCTGAAACGGACGGTAATTGTCTATATAGTCCGCAGGCTTCTTTTCAGTTTAGTTACACTAATACAGTTTTTCTCCTCTGTAAAATTTGGTTTTGAGCAGGGCTGGATTAAGGGGGTGGCCACATGGGGCGCGGCCCATGGCGGCAAATCTAGGGGGCGGCAAATTTTGTAATTTTTTTAAGTGTAGGTATAAAAAAATATCGGATTTAGAAAAAAAAATTATAAACGAGAAAAGAAGACAAAATTTCCCATTTCCTGAGAGTATAGTAATTTTTAATTTTGTCGTCTTTCAGTGATACAAGAGACAGCACCTTTCATTAGTCGAGTTAAGAGAGAAACCAAACACGCAATTTGGCCTGGAACGGCGCGGCGCAGAGAGGAATGATGACGAGGGCTTGAGATGAAAAGGTGAAGCCCTCTGCGCGGCGATCGGCATGTAACACATATTAGCGCCTACAAGACTGCACGAATACTTCACGCATTGCATCAAACACAGTGCGGTCATTGCGGTCGGCGTGAAACGGATAGCGCCTACAAGAATGCATGAATACTTCACGCATTGCGCCAAACACAGTGCGGTCAGTGTGAAACGCATGGCGCCTACAAGACTGCGTGAATACTTCACGCATTGCGCCGAACACTGCGCGGCGCGGCGGCGGAAGTTAAAATCATTAAACCACATTCATGTTTGTTCTTTCATAATTTTTTTGTTCAATTCTTATGAATGAAAGGCCTTGTCCACACATAGATAGGTTTTCGAAACTTAACTTTTGCTAGTAGTGTTGACATGGCATTCGCAAAACATGTGTTCAACACGAGTAAACGCGTCTTATGCACCTCTCTCCGCTGTCACTTCACTTTATGGTTTTCATTGATGTTTCAATGCGAGTGAGAAGGAGGCGGCAAGTAGGTAGGTAAATCCGGCCCTGGTTTTGAGGCACGTCCCCTTCCTCGATTTAGGGTAGAGTACCTATATTGAGAGAGTATGGCCACTGGGGTTACCACCTCTGATTGGCTCAGCCATCTTAGGCTGAATGGAGCCCATAGGACCCAAAAATGGCGGACGCCATAAATTAATGAAATGCAAAATGACTCAAAATGTAGTTTTCTTTGCTTATCGTAACGAGAAATTTACCCAAATGCACTATAGTGACATCTTTACATATTTTTAAGGCTAATCGTGTGCAATTTTTGAGAAAAATTATCGTAGATGTAGTAAGGTTGGCAGCAAGTGCGGTTGGTGATAACCGTCAAAAGTTGGCAATGACCCCCCTCCCATCCACAAAAACCAAAACAAAGCACCGCCATTTTTGGGTCCTACGCCTCTCCATGGGGCCCAGTGGCCATACTCTCTCAATATAGGTACTCTAATTTAGGGATACAGCGATGGATTGTTAGAGGTATTCATGAGGCAACGCTGCAGAGATTCCGAAACAATAATGACCTACTCGAATTTTCAGAGCCGTGGCCGACCACAAAGGGGCACGAGAATCCTGCACGCGAGTACGCATCGGCATCAACGGTGAATCCGAAAATATTAAAATATTATCGACGGAGATATAAATATGATAGAAAACAAATATGGGTCCGTCGGTGGAGTCGCATCGCGTGGCGTTGCGCGATGAAGTGAACCGAAGCGAGAATCGGGCGATAAATCACAGAACCACAATTAACCGATCAACCATTCTTTCGCCCGACGTGTTCCGCGTTTTCGGGCTCCGGAGTCCGGATTC